TTACAAGTTTCTAACGATGTTTTACTATTGACTGATTCATGGTTTCAATGGAATATTTTGCCTTCATGGGTAGGAAGTATTTGTGAAAATGTTTGTGAACATACATTAAGTTCAGGTTATTTTCTTTGTCCACACAAAATACTTCGGATTCGTTGGCCAGACACTATTTAATAAGTAGTATGTATGTCCATACCAAGGTGGATCCGATGCAGATGTGAGGGCGAGGATTGGCAAAGCAAGGACTGCATTTCTACAGTTGAAAAATATCTGGAACTCCAAAAAACTATCAACCAAAACAAAAATCAGGATTTTCAATACAAATGTCAAGACAGTTCTACTGTATGGAGCGGGAACATGGAGAACTATGAAATCCATCATCCAGAAGATACAAGTGTTTATTAACAGTTGTCTACGCAAAATACTTTGGATTCGTTGGTCAGACATCATCAGCATTAACGAACTGTGGCAGAGAACAAACCAGATTCCAGTGGAGGAGGAAGAAGCGGTGGAAGTGGATAGGACACACACTACGAAAAGCACCTAACTGCGTCACAAGACAAGCCTTCGTTTGGAACCCTCAAGGTAAAAGGAAGAGAGGAAGGCCAAGTAACATATTACGCCGAGCAATGGAGACAGACATGAGGAGAATGAACAAATAGTGGACAGAACTTGAAAGGGAAGCTCGGTAGACTGTAGGTTGGAGAATGCTGGTTAGCAACCTATGCTCCATGGGCGGGTGATAGGCGTAAGTAAGTGCATAAGTAAGTGCATAAGTAAGTAAGTAAGTAAGTAAGTAAGTAAGTAAGTAAGTAAGTGAGTGAGTAAGTAAGCAAGTAAGTCAGTAAGTAAGTAAATTATTTTCTTTGGCTTATCAACAAACTTGCCTATCAAAGACACTATAATTTAGTTTAATGCACAAACGACAGGTTGTGACAAGCAGTGGAACGCGCCATTCATTTCATGTTAGGACTATTTAGTTGATTGTATTTACTCGACTTTGTCCAACACCAATAAGTCACAACGTACACAAAGAAAAATCAATGTCTTTCGATGTTGGACTGTATACAGCAACTGAATTACACATGACTCAGAAGCTTGGAAAGATGTTGAAACCCTTACATTTCTGAGAAGAATTATTGAAAACTAAGGTGGATCTGATGCAGATGTAAAGACATGGATTATCAAAGCAAGAGCAGAATTTCTAAAATTGTAGAACATCTTTGTCACACTCGTCTCTAGGTATGCTTAAAACTAATATGTGTTCACCTTGGTCGAATAACGAGAACAAAACAATGAATCAGCGTCCAGGTAAGCTATTCTGATCCCTTGACCCAAATGTACTAGCAAGAAGTCTTGATATAGCGTAGGAAGTGTATTCTACAACACTCAGCCAGCACACAATGAATCCAAGCACACAAATCGCGTTTATTTATACATCATAGAAACGTCCTTGGGACAGTCACAAAATAGCACACATAAATGACACAGTAACCAATCACAGTTAAGGATTTTCCTGGTGGGAAATGTGATCTCAGGGTCAACTGATCGGTTCATGAATAAAATCCAAAATAAAGACATTTATCAATCGAGTTCCGGGGATCTAACATCCCTAACAATCTTGAACTCAAAACAACTATCAGCCATCACCAAAATCAAAATTTTCCATGCAAATGTCCAGTTCTACTGTATGGAGAAGAAACTTGGAGATCCACAAAAGAAATCATCTACAAGATGAAAGTGTTTATTTATAGTTTTCTACACAAGAAACTGTGGATCTGTTGTCCAGACACAATCAATAATAGCCTACTGTCAGCGTGAACAAATCAGATTCCAGTGGAAGAAGAAATCTTGAAGAAGCTCTGGAAGTGGATAGGACATATATTGGAGAAAGCGATCAAAAGCATCATAAGACAAGCCCTCAGTTGGAATCCTCAAGGCCAAAGGAAGAGAGGAAGACCAAGAAACACATTACACCGAGAAATGGAGATATGAAAAGAATGAACAAAAACTGGACAGAACTAGAAATGTAAACCGAAGGCAAAGTAGGTTGGAGAATGTTGGTCGGCGTCCTATGCTCTTTTGGGGGCAAAAGGCATAAGTAAGTAAGTAAGTAAGCAAGGATACTGCGATCAAAATCATTAGAGAATTAACGGATTAAATCATTAAATTTCGAACCTTAATTATGAGTTTTCAACTTGGAAAAACCTATTCATTTGCATTATTGTTTGAACCTTAACAACGATGTGTAACACTGTAATTGATCCGTGTCGTTTGGCATAAGTACATTCTATTCGAATTGCATCGATATTGACTTTCGATTAAAAGTATTGTTAACAGAGCTGGATAGTGGGCTGGCATTTTGGAGTTCATGGTGCATGACCGGAATGAATATCAACACTAGGATGTGACAAGTACATCCAGCTAACTTACACCTGGTTCTCTCAATGGTGTATAGGCAGCCCACCATCATTAGCCAGCCTACTTTGTCATGGGCTGTCCTTTCCAGTTCCACCCGGTCGTTGTTCATTCTTTTCATGTCTAAGTGTGCTCTTTGGTCTTCCTCCTAACCTTTGGCCTTGAGGATTCCAAGTGAAGGCTGTCTTGTAATGCAGTTGAATGATTTCCTCAATGTGTTTCCTGTCCATCTCAAGCACTTTTTCCTGATTTCTTCCTCAGTTCTGCCCTACAGTATTAGGTTGTTGACAATGGTGTCTGACCAACGGATCCTTCTAGATTGCACCGCTAGACACTACTGACCTTTGTCAATATATTTTTCATGACTAAAATA